GAATCGAACCCGGGGCCACAGCGGTGACAGGCCGACGCTCTCACCACTCGGCCACCCTTGCTTCCCATATATCTAAGACCTAATCTAAAGAAATTTCGATCTTTCAGAAACCACTGGAGAGAGATCTGGTACTGCTTTATACAGCATCTCCTTGACAACCCAAGCTATAATGACGTCAGCGTATATTATATCMTTCATACTGGGGTTGCTTGGCAACGGCGTTGGTATTTTTATTGTGTTCAGACGTTCAAGACGGAGATTCTGCAGTACTAACGTCCTGATTGGTAACATGGTTATTGCAGACCTTCTAGTGACGTTGTTTGCTATGCCACTTGCAGTAGAGTATTTGTACATACAGAATAAATGGTTTGGTGGTCTGGTGGGAGAAATGGCTTGTAAACTGATTCATTTTCCAAAYTTYGTGACTATTTCTGCTTCTGTTCTTACCATCTTAACTATTTCCATCGAGCGGTATTGTGCTGTATTTTATCATTTAAGGAATTCCTTCCTAAGAAAAACCAAGTATTTGACAGCCATCATCTGGTGCACATCTATCGTTCTCGCATGCCCTTACTTATTTTCCTACACCTTGGCGCAAGACGCTGCTGGTCAATACTTTTGTGTTGTTGAATGGGGAGACATCAAGCAAACGTACGCATCCCAACGAATATACTATTCCTTCGTGTTTGTCTTCTTATACGCCATACCGCTGGCTTTAATGAGCGTCCTGTATACCCGTATTGCAATTAAATTATGGAAGAAAACTGCTACCCGAGGTGAATCATTCATTATAAGGAAATCTGCTACTAAGGCAAAGCGCAAGGTTGTTAAACTGCTCTTGGGACTGGTTGTTTTCTTTGCCTTGTGCTCAGCACCAGCACATATCATGCATTATTACATGTTTTACGAGCTAAARGCTTGGTTACAAATGCCACTTGCCATCAAACTACTGTCGTTTTGGATTTACAACACTAATAGCGCCGTTAATCCGATTGTTTATATTGTTTTAAGTGAAAGATTTCGACGCGAGTTCTTTAGACTTGCCCATGGYAACTGGTGTGAGAGACGGACTATTCGTTTTTCCATATCAAAGACCAAAAGGCCACATCGTATGAAACCAACAGTGACTACTAGAGTGTGGTTACAGGCCAAAAAGAAAAACAGATAGTGACAGAACAACGAATAAACTGAACTAGAATAAACAGAAATAGACAGAACTTTCTTGGACATAAAAGGGAGCACAGGCTACACAGCAAACACACCGGTATTGAAGCCGTGATTAT